GCTATCGGATAAGGTGACTATGTCCTGTTTTAGATAGATCCTACCTAAGATAAATTGTACGCCATCTTTCGATAGATATATTTCTACCTGAATCATATGTGGGTAGGTGCCCATTGGCTCGGAGTATTTAGTTTTCGGCCCAAATACTCCAATCCTGCCTCCGTTTTAGTTTTGGAATAATCAGTATACTATTGTTATGGTCTAATGGTCTTTAATATGCTGAGCAAACGTTTCTCTCTTCCAATGCTTTATATTGGTCAATACTACAGTGAGGTGATTCTCAAAGCTGTGCATTCTTGGTATGTTGTCCATTGGGAGTTTTTTTTCCAATAACAAGAGGCCGTCCTCTGCCGGAAACACTGCCATTTGTGAGGTCTATTGTGTTTGTCCCCTTTCTATATCTGCACCCATTGCCCTGGCTAACTTATGTAGGTCCTTGATAGGATGGGGGCATAGTCCCTCCGGTTCTAGCCTAGCTTTCCCAAATAAAAAGTGTCGCTTGCGATCCAGAGCCTCGCAGTGACATATTATGTGCTCCGCTGTTTCAGGATCTTTATCGCAGAGTCTGCAGCAAAGACTTCCTTGATACAGGTTGAGCTTGTTCAGGGAGTTGGAGGAGTGGAATTTTCTTTTTGAGGGTGTTTCAGGCCTCTGACCTGACAATTCTCGTAAGACTGACAGATAGAACGTTATGTGTAGACTGAGTTTTAGACGTTAAGAAATATCCAATCATTGAGAATGTTTTAAAAATGGAGAGTAGGTACTCCCAATGAAATCTTTAAATAAACAATCACATCATTTGTAAAATACTATAAATATTTATTGTTTAGTTACGCTTACATATACATGTAACACTGTCGTTAATATTTACTGGAGTACATGACCTTTAACGCGCAACTATTAAATTATTGCACTCCCCATATTTACATCCATCAATTTAAAAGGAAATCATGATTCACCGGTAACCATTAAAGACATACTTTACAGACCGTATTGTTTTAGTAGGAGAGCCCAAGATGCTAAAACGACACAAATGACACAAAAGATGCAAACTATATAAAAACTAAGTTGAAAAACCGAATTTGGAGTGAAATTGCAATCAATTTTTTTCAGTTGATTCGATTTTTTTTTCTTTCCAGTAGAATATACTTGTTAGGTGATTTGAATTTATTATTTAATACAGTAACATTTCCTTTTCGGCATCATCTGATTTTGATGCACAACTAAAGTTTAATAACAACAGTTTTTTCAATTGTGAATCAGACATTTCTATGCGGTTGCTCTGCGGGTCACTTAAAATGTGCGTTAAAATTTGAGGGCCACCACGCCCACGAAGCGCGTGTCGTCATGCCGTTCGCGTCAGGTCATGTCACACGCGATATACCGGATGCGTCTCAAAAGTGGCTCATCCCTATAACTTTTTATTTTTTCAGTTAAAAAAAATCGATATTTGTTATATGTATATGACATAAATTAGGATTGATTAACGTATTCAATTGTTTTTGATCGCTTCCTGTTTAACCGGAAATGACTTCAACTTTTGATTTTTAATGGCATTCCCGGTATATTTCTACTTTATTCGATAGAAAATGACACTCTGAATAGAATTACCTATCACATTTCAACTTTTGATATTTTCGCATATGGTTTATTTGAAATTGTAACATTCTTATGCATTGTTCATCACGACAATTTGCATCGAAATACCAAGTGTGTGGTACCAAATTATTCGTGGAAAAATGCTTTTTCCAAATAGGCTAATGAGCCACCCTTGTTCCATTTGAACCAAATGAGATATGATTAAAAATATGATTTGGGCATCTTTTAACCGACCAGGACAAGACATGAAAAATATTAGACGATCAAAACTATTTTTCCAAGACTCCCTGATAAAAAATTTGTGTTTTTAACATAGCCATGGCACTCTAGATTGAAATTTAAAATACGATTTGTTTTTAAGCGAAAATGTCTAAAGTTGACATATGGTATGTCATTTTATTCAGAATGTTATTCTCTATCGAACAAAGTAGAAATATACCGAGGGTGTCATTTAAAAATCAACCAAAACTCATGGCAGATTTTTTCGACATCCATAGCTCTCTGCATCGTACTTTATTGATGATTCGAGCTACTTCGCCTTGTGTAGATTGGCGAATTATGTTATTTCCGTGATTCTTGAATCATTTTCTTCAAAATAAAAAAAAAATAACCAAGTTTGAGAATATCCAGGTAGTATTTATTTGCAACTTTTGCCTCTCCCATTTCCTGATGTCACGCTTAAATCATCAGAAAAATGGTACACTTCTCTGCATTTACTTAAATCACTTTGCTTTAATCTGACGCACTCGAGTTTTCCTAACGATCAATTTTTTGCTACTCTGATCGACTACCTTTTAAGTACCGTAAATACTTAACAGGGTGCAAGGTTATGATAACCTGCGGCCGCTTGAGTACCTAAATCACAAAATTCCCGTTTGGGCTCCCCTACTATATTGTCTATGCTGTCTGATGTCCACCGTGACTTTGTGCTAAAACATTTCCGGAACAGCTGCTGGCCGAACAACATTTTTTTCTACTGTTGAAACTGTTAATTATGCTTAAATAAAAATACAAACAGAAACAAAGATGTTGTTGGAGATATTGTAGGTCAATATTTGATAAACTTTAATTTGCATGCGTTTTTACAGATGATGAATCATATAAAAGTATAGCAATATTTATTAAACTAAAAATAACACAAACTTATTAAGATTATTCATCAAAAATATCGTACGCTTCATAATTGCTTTAATAAGTTTGTCGATACAATTTGTTTATACATTTTTGTTTTGGCTCGTAATGAAGTAGGTAGATGTCTCAATGTCGATGATAAGATTTAAATCAAAAGAGGATTTACGTTGTCTGATTTAAATCAAAAAAGGATTTTCGTTTCAGAGATCAAGCCCTCATTTCTGATTAAAATAATATAGGTTATTAGATAATACAGGGTGGCGCCTCTCTCATATGACGCGGTGACTCTAGAATTGGAATTATATTTTAGAAGCATTAAGTTAACTTAAAGCATATTTAAAAATATATAGGGATCTGTGTTTCCCCAACACCCTGTGCCCCCAAAAAAGTTACACATCAAAGTTGTTTTTTGTAATAGAATACCCTATAAATTAATTGATCTTCGGATTTTACAAAAATAATAAAAGTGACCTTTATTAGGGAAGCATATGACTAAAATGTAAGGTTTTGTAACATATTTAACATTTTCTAAAAATGAATAATACATTTTAAATTTCAATAAAAGCAATCTTGCAAAATTGTAATTGACTTTGTATAGCCTGATATGTAGTGTTCCTATTGTATCCCCTTGTATAGCCCCAATGTACGTTAAACCAAATTAAAATTTGACCCGAAAAGTTATACAGGGTGAGAAACTTAATATTGAATATTCGATTTTTGAAAGCAAGTTACTCTTTTATTTTTAATGGAACAGTACTTAGTACATTATTTCAATATTCAATGGAGAATTCATGTCTTCTTTACAATATCTTATTTAATAAAACTCACCTTTATTTGTTCCTAGAATCCGAAAATTGATTAATATATTATATTATGGTATTATTACAATAAACACTTACTTTGATGGGTAATTTTTTTTGAGGACACACTGTAGAACTATATATATTTATAAAAAATGCTCTAAATTAACCTTAATTAAAGAAATTAAAGCAGAAAGAAAGTTACTAAAAAGTTATTTTTGATAAATTATATTATAATTATTATTATAATTATTCGTTTGCGCACGTATTTTTGTACGGTATAATATGTAAGAAACGGCGGTGATGCAAGTTTCTAACACTCTATTGGTTTGTTAAAGATTGAGGTGTCGTCTTACTATTGCTGCTGTTTGAAGAACGACAGCCTTCTGGAGTTGTATATAGAGTAACGGTGGAAGATCTAACTTTTTAAACTATGGTGGAGAGCCTTTGGTATTACGCCCGTTGATGAAATTATAATGGGTACGATATTCACTTCGTTTTGCTTCCATAAACTTTTAACTTGTTCAGCTAGTGCGGTATATTTACTTAACTTCTCACTCCATGTAGACTGCAGATTATGGGTGTTAGGAATCCCGACATCTATAAGGTAAGTTAATGCCCTCTCTTTTATGGTGAATGTTAGATCTGGTCGGTTATGCGGAGTTGTTTTGTCAGTAAGTATACTTCTGTTCCAGTAGAGTTTAAAGTGGGCATTTTCTAACACATTTTCAGGTTCATATCTGTAATAAGGTGTAATATCTTCTTTTAAATGACAAAGGGTTGCTAACTTTTGATGAATTATAATTATTTATTATTTATAATTATTATTATTATAATTATTATTATTATTAAATTATTATTATAAATCGTTCTTATTAACAAAAATAATACATTATTGTGTTCAAGTTATATTAAGTTAAATCAGTTTCGTAAAAAAAAACATGTGTAACTTTTTACTTAAGAAAAAATATACTACATTTTATTTTCACATCATATTTCTCTTTAAAAGTAATGCCATTGTTTCTACTTAAAGCCTAGAAAAAATATGTATATCAGCATAGCGCAATTTTTTGGGTTTACCATGATGTCCTAATAACTTTTATCAGTAAAATGTTAACGATATCAGTGTAAAGAGTAAACAGAAGGGCAGGTTTATTATTTACAATACTTAATAATTTTTGTTTGCTGCTTTTTACATTTGGCTTTGTCAAATATTATCTAACCTTGAATTACTGGGTGTTCTTTTCAGATATGTCGGTGACCTGGTTTTCGGTAAAAATGTGTCAATCAATTATCTAAATAAATAAATCACAATTTCCCAAAGTAAACGGTATTTTTATGACGAGCATCATAAGTAAACAACAGCACAAATAATATCGTAAGGGTATTCTAAATATTAGTATATTTTGGTAAAATATTTTAAAATTTATACTTTTATGGTATTAAAGATGCATTTCTTTTTATTTGCAGTTATATCTTTCTCAGTATGGATACCTGGGACCAATAAAAACGAATTCTAGTCAACTACTGGATGAAAATGCCTTCAAAAAGGCGGTTGAAGACTTCCAAAGCTTTGCAGGTTTGTCTGTGACCGGTAAGTTTAGTTTGGTTATTCAATTTTATACATAAATGAAAAAAGGTCAATCCGAAGTTCAAACTTTAGATCAAACTAGAGATGGGTACATCCTGTATTTTACAAGAGTTGTGTCCGGAGTTACACCGGACCACTACCCGGACTACTTCAGGTTCTGTCGAATCTATATCATTATAACCTTGATTGGGATCAATTCGCGTTCAAAAGTTTTGTAGTCCGTTAGGCAAATCTGATGATTGCGTTTTGCCAAATCCTTATCACTTGATCTTGGCTGTTAGATTTATTTGGTAGATGTACCTTAAAGTTCAAATTTGAGGATTTGGACCTATGAGGCAAAGCATTACGAATTTTACATACTAATAAAAGATAGCCGAGACACAGTTACAGCTTTCTATTAAAACTGCAGCATAGGGATTGTTTCATGCTCGTCTGCTGATTTCTTTGACGAAGCCAATAGAATCATAACATATTTTATAATTTCTTGAATTTACGAATAAAATAACTACACTACACAGAAATTTCAAATAATACAAAATAATTTCTAATCGAAGTTATCATCATCATCATCCATCATCATCAACCAGCCACTAAAGTCAACTGCTGGACGTGGGCCTCTCCCGTTTGCTTCCATAACTCCATATCTTGAGCTATTTGCATCCAGTTATTGTGAATACGCCTTTAGCAGTCGTCATGCCATCTGGTCGGGGGACGGTATCTGCTCCTGAATGCATCATGTCTTGGTCTCCATTCTATTATTTTCTTCGTCCATCGGTCATCGTTTAGCCTTGCAATGTGCCTTCCCAATCCCATTTCAAAGTAGTTATTTTTTATATGGCATCCATGACTTTTGTTTTGGTTTGGTTTCGTACTTCGATACTACTTTGTCTCTCCGAGGGAGCCTCAATATTGATCTTTCCATTGCGCTTTGCGTTGTTTTGATATTGCTTACTGTTTTCTTGGTTAATGTTAGAGTCTCCGCACCATACGTTAGAACAGGTAGTACGCATTGATTGATTACCTTTCTCTTCAAACATATTTGACGTGTCCCTTTGAAACTGTATTTCAATTGTCCATAGACGGCCCAAGTCAGTCCTAATCGTCAGTTAAGCTCGCAAGTTTGGTTATCGCGGCTTATACGTATTTCGTGTCCCAACACTTGTAAGCAGTTGTTTCTTCTATTTGATATTGGTTATTATAATATATTCCACCACCAATTACTAGGTTTGTCATCACTTGGGTTTTTGAGATGTTGATTTTTAGTCCCATTTGTTTAGAGGTTGCATTCAATTTTTGTAACACATTTTGGGCTTTATTTACGCAATTGGATATCAAGACATTGTCATCAGCAAATCGCAGGTGGTTCAAGTTTTCACTACTTATATTTATACCCAATTCGTTCCATTCTATCTGTTTGCGAATCGAAGTAAAACTTAATAAATAGTAAATACAACTCAGCAGCAGTTACCATTCGACATTTATTCCAATAATCTCCATTACTGATTTATTTTGCTGTTTTGTTATGTTTTCGTGATCTGCTGACGACGGCGACGACGTGGCCAGTTGGCTACTAGCCATGCAGTTCCGCGGATAGAGGTCGATAATCAGTACGATGTACATTCATCGGTACCGGCACATGAGAGAGGTCCGTGGATTCGTATCCATCCGGACCTTCTAATCTCTATTTTAAACTAGAGACTTTTTCGTTTAATGTAATCTTTGTACTTTTGAATTATGAGAAACTAAAATACAAAGATTAACAATGATTGAAATAGTTGACTATTCTGATTTTGCTTGTTGGTAGATAATAAATCAAACATTTTGACACAGAACATTTTGCGATCTGGAAAGCCTTATCCTATGTCATCGAGGAATGTAATCAATCTAGAGTTTTAATTGTTTTTGACTCTTTAGAGATCGTGTCTAAAATTAATTACATATTTGTCCATGATTCTCTGAGACAAAAAATTCAGAGGCTTATTCGAGAGTGCAGCGAAAAGGGAAACAAACTTACGTTTGTATGGATCCCAAGCCACACTATTATACTTGGCGACAGAATGGCAGATGAAGCGGCTCAGCAAGCTGCTGGAAGAGATACTATTGATTTCCCTTATATTAGTAAATATGATCTTAAACTACTACTGCATAAAAGAACAGAAAGGGAATGGCAGGATGAGTGGGCAGGTAAACCTGCAAAGCTTTGCGCAATAAAACAAGATCCGTCAACCCCATCCTTACGTCTTGCACTAGGACGAGCGGATGAATCTAGAGTGCATCGTCTTCGTATTGGGAATACCGCGGTGACTCATGCATATCTGCTTAATAGAGAAATACCTCGAATGTGTATAATAGTCTGTGATGTTGAGTTGACAGTAACTCACATTATATGTGAATGTCCTCAATATACGGTAGAAAGAAGCATATTCGATATACGATATATTGTGGTGAAATGCATGAAAATTTAACGAGGGAAAAATTAAAAATGTTTTGAAATTTATGAAAGATATTAATATATATCACCAGCTGTGATACTCGCCTGTGACACTCTAATCCAACTGTGATACTGTGATGTAAATAATTACCTATTTTTCTTGTTGTTTGTTTTTTGTTTTCTGTATTTTATTTGTGTTTAGTTATTTTGATCCTTTTGTCACTCAACTTGAAATGTTTATGTTAATGTAGATTATTAAATTTTGAATTGTCTTTGTAAGAGTGAACCTCTTGAGGATATTGAGATAGACCTAAACGAGTTAAGGCTAATGATCCTGGTGACCGATGCCTAAGGATTTGATTAATTTTATATATTATCCATAATTGACATCCTGTATACTCATAAAATTGTTCTAAAAATGTGCGTTACCATTTTTTGTAAAAAAACATTGAAAATTTCAAATAAAAAAGCCTTTTTAGTAGCATTCTGTTTTCAATAGAAATTTTTACAATTTGTGGCCAATATTAATCAATAAAGTTAATACACTTGGAAAAACATCTAAATCATATTATAGCATTTAGTCAATATTAAGAAATATATTAATCCATTTTATACTTTTAGTTGATTTAAACCTTCTTATTAGATCAACCAAAAGCATTTACCTAATTATTAAAAATTCAAAACCAGCATAGTATACAAACACAGGTAGATATTTATTATAAGCGATAACGATTATATGCTGTTTTGTAACATAATTAATAATGTGCTGGTAGAAACCTTAACCTACTAGAAGTGCACGTTGTCTGACCTAACAGGAAAAATTATTGTCATTATTTCGAATTTCTGTTATTAAAAGCGGAATGGCATTGGAATCTTCCTATGATTTAGCGAAAAACGTAGTTTTTGCTTCGGAGTTAGAAACACTTAGATATGTATAACGTCTGTCTCAAATGAGAGATTAATATGATTATAATATAGGTAATAGTCTGTTATTGTTTATCATTTTAATTATACCATATATTTTCTCAATTTTTTGTAATTTTTTGGAAGTATAGATTGTTTCTATCTGAGATTAATTATTCATTGTGTTCAAGTTTTCGACTTTTTTAAAGTAAAAAATAAATAAGTAAATAATAACCTTTTAAAAATAATTTCCTAGTTATAGAGGACAGGTTCAAATATATTTTTACGAAAAAGTTGTAGTTTTTTAAACGGAATGCTGCATATATATCTGGCATATGTCTTACCTCGGCTTTTTCAAAATGAGATATACATACTATAAATGGCTATATTTCATATTGTAGTTGGGGGTGGAACCTTTGGTGTTATAACCATAAATTAATTGTAAGTTAAATATAAGGAAATAAAAGTCTTCGAGAACACCTTCCATAGCATTAAACCTCAATAAAACCTCAACTAAACCAGGCAAAAATTTGAATTTTGAGTTGTTGTTCTTGGGATAATGTACCAATTTCGTCATCAGCGTTTTCATCGAAAAATCTTTTTACTTTTCTTGTCCGTTTTTCTGGGAGAACAGGCTCAATATTGCTTGCCTCTGCAAGGATCTTTGCTTCTTTAAAGCAATCGTCGACTTTGTCTCTAAACTCAGCTAAGAAACTCTGTAATGAATTCAGCAATTTAGATGCCTCCGCGATCGAAAGCGTTGGCCTCTGCAGAGCAGTGTTTACATTTTCGATGTTCCTTAAAAATGCCTGCCGCACGCTCTAGGTAGCGTCTTCTATCTAAATTTTACTATTTCATTGTATGATGTTTGCATGGTGATTAGAGTTTTTACTACTGGTTTCGGACATACTTATATTTTACCGCCCCTGCCCCTGTGCCGAAACTTTACTTGTAGGTATGATGTGTGCAGAAACTACTTTTGAAAAAATGAAAAAAAAAAATTATATGTGTTCATTATTTTTTTGTTTTACAATGATCAATGGCGGCTGCATCAGCACAAAAATTATATAATAGCTGTTGATGTATGAAATTAAATATAAAGTGTAGCATTTGAAATAGCATTGAAAAGCATATCTAGTTTTGCGACAAGCTCTATGTACCACGAAATTTAGTCTATTTAAATATGATCAACTGATTATATTAACTATGAAGAAGATCACTATCACTATCATAAAATAATTTCAGGTAAAAATTTCATTTATCATTTTACAAAGATTTATTTTAATGTTAAATATTAATCAATATATTACTAGATAAGTAATAATGAATGGATAAGAAAATGGTTATATGAATTGCGGTGGGATTTTTGGAATAAAACATTTGTTAAACATTTTGGTATACAAAACTGATGAAAAACTTATGTATTTTGCTAATTGATATAGAGTTCTAAATTATCTTCTCTCATATATCTATAAGCCTAGAATAATTAATTATACATAGTGTTAACCTTTTAAAAATCCAGTTACATTATCAGCTTTTACTATAATATTAATATGTTTTCTGATCCAGTAGGCTTTGATAGTTAAAAGTTTCAAAATTATTCTATATTTTTTTCTGAAAATTCATCATTTGCCCTATTTTTTTATGAGAATTGTTTATCTGTTCGATGACTTCGATTATATTATATTTCTATTAAGCATTTATGGTAAAACAAAAAAAAATATTTTAAAATTTTAATTTTTCAAAATTAAGTTTAAATATGATGAAATTATGTATTATCACTATCGATTTATATAAAGATATATCGTTTATAGTATGATTCATATTATTAATTTAATATTTAATTGCTGTCTGTTTAAAAGTTTTAAAATGTTTTCTTTTGTATTATCGATAGGGTAATATTTTGATCAAATTATTTATTTATTAATAGTTTACTTAAATTTTGCGTTATATGATTCATGAAAAAATATCTAAAAAGAACATATGAAATGTGTAATTGACACAATTTCAAAATTTAATATAATAAACAAACTACTTTTCTGATATTTATTTCCTTTCTGGGGTGATTCAACCGACTTACTTCGACAAAATTATAAAAACTATATATTAATGATTTATATAAAAAGAATTAGAATAAAAAGAGAAACTAATATTGAATTTTTGTTATAGGTGAATTAGATGAAACAACGTTAAAAACGATGGAACTACCTCGGTGTGGTGTGAAAGATAAAGTTGGAACAGGAGATAACAGAGCTAAAAGATACGCGTTACAAGGTAGGTTAATCAGTTTAAGATAATTTAGTATTAATCATGTAAACTAGTACCCTAAAAAGTAACTACTTATGTAGTATTAACGGATGAAATTTCGACGCTAAAGATTTTTTAACCTTTTGTGATATGTAAATGTGATGCTAAAACCGAAATGTCATTTTAATTTTTTTTAATTTTCTGTGTATTAATGACGCCAATACTGTCCCACTGCTGGCTGGTGTGCTTGAAACATTATAGGCTGTGCTATAGACTTGGTGCATTATCCGCCTGTGCTGCCACCATCGGAGAATATCGTAAACAACTGGCATATAGAAATACACGGATTAAACTAGCGAGTACACGAAAAAAAGTTTATATTATTGTTCTAAAAGTGGTAGGAAGTATAATTTGTAAAAATTCTAAAACATTTTGATACTTTTTTTTTGATTCAGAAGGTCTGACTTCTAACTTATTGTATTGTAATTTATTATCCAAGCGAATAAAACTTTTTAGATGAGTTCAAAGTACCGGAGATGTTCGAGAAAAAAACAAAAATTAAAGTTTTCGATTTTATTTTTTTCTTGTCATTATTTGACAAGGTATCTTAAAACTGGTATCTAAACAATCTCAAGGTGAGGGTTCGATTCCCACACCCGGCATTTCATCAGCCGACTATTTTTATTAAAATAAAAATAGTTTGGGTACCTAGTTCGACTCAGCCTTAAATGAGTACTTGGATTCACAATCCTGAGGTAATAATAGGCGGTTGAAGCGTAGTACTAGCCACATTACCTTCCTTGTTACCGAACGGCTCTAGTATAGCAAGCTGTACCTTGCTACTCCCAAGGCGTTAAACGCTATATACGGGAGCTATTATTATTATATTATCTTTAAATTTAAACTTAAAGCAATCTTTATTCCCATTTTTTTCAACTACACAACAGTGTTTTCAGATTTGCCATTCGACGTTTCGCCTTTTGATAACCATCATTCTTATGTTTTCTTACAGGTGCCATATTAGATGTTTACACATCTAAATAAATAAATTCATTGTGATTCTAACGATGATAAAAGTTATGTATATGTATAGTGGCTTTTAAACGTCAATAATTTGTAAAATCATTTTTTTAATAGGCGGCTTTGGTTGTTTGAAACAAAAAGGCGACATGTTAATAAAGGGTACTAACCTAGAAACAACATCAATAGACCAGAAAGTAAAGTATTTTTATTGTATGTGATAATTTTAGTTTATGCATTTTTTTAAAAGTAATAATAAAATGCGAAACTAATATTGCTAATTTTATAAATAACGTGAAAAAGTTCAACACCACGCCATTTCAGAACAATATGGGATTTTTTTTTATTTAATTCAATTTTTCGTCCTTTTGTTTTGTCACTTGTAAATGGTGGGATATACGGTCGATTTATTCCGGTAAAATACAATTTACAACGTTGTGATTTACCTTACAGTCGAGGAATGGCATTATAAAGTTTTAAAATTCAAACTTTATTTTAAATTTTTGAATACAAGGAATATTTTTTATGTATGATTGAGAAAGATATTTTTTCAACAAAAGGTTAATAAATACATGTTTGTATATGTAGTGATGGTTTGGAAAATACTCGAGAAAATATGACTCAACGAAGATAACTTTACAGTTTCATATACAGGGTAGTCTGAATTGTACTCGGGAAACTTTGCCAGTATATTCTGCATATAAAAGTAAGTAAAAATATTCGTATAAATTTATGCCCTAAACTGCTTCATTTTGGAGATACAGACTGTAGAAGTTCCATTTTTATTTCGATTTTTTCCTAATAATTTCGGTTTGGAAAATTGTTGTTTGGGCAGGTTGGGAGTTTTTTTACATGAGAAATTTGATTTCGATGTCAATATCAAAGAATATACAAAAAAAAAGAATAGAAACTATCTTTCTGAAAAATGGTCAAAAATGGTCTTTCTGAAAAACAGTCTTAGGCGCCATCTATTGTTAGGGAGGGGTTGGCATTAAACTACATTTCACACTAAACTATTATTTTAAACACAAAAATACTCCTAAAAACTTATCTTTTATTGATTGGCGTTATGACAACGACAATATTCTTTGACAACGGCCGTTGGAAACTATGAAAACTACAAAAAAATGATTTAACGCCATCTGATAATAACTAGTAGCAACTCCTCAACCTAAAAATTAATTGCACTCCCATCTAGCGAGCGGGGCTGGAACTATTTTATTTGAAATTTCCGTGAAAATGGTGGTATCGCTCTTGCTATTTGACCTTCAGGCCCTGGATAATATGACTCCTACTTGTAAGGGGTGCCACCTATATATTTTTTAACTGGTTTGAAAATAAGTTATTATTTATTTTAACATTTCTTTCATTATGAGGGGTTTGACATCTTTTAGAGCAACGACGATTGAAATTGTTTTCATGATTAAGTGAAATTGGCTATATGATGTTTCGCTTTTACGTACGTACAAAAAGTTATTACTTTTTGTACGTACGTGTTATTATATGATCTACCGATTAAAAAAATATATATTTTTGTTTTGTTGGTAAAAATCGCTATGAGCAATGGTTCTCCAGATATTTGGTATCAAAATAATCAATACATGCCATCATTGACAAAAATTGAACATGTTGACAAGATAGTAGTTAGGAGATTGAAATAATAAATTTGAAATTATCTTATGCCAAAGGATCCCCAGAAAGTGTTTTATCATAGATTCTTCTAGAAATATTATGATTAATAAAAAAATCCCATTTTTATCATTTGTCAAATAACTATCTAATCTACAATATGTTAATAGTCAACATGTTTATTTTTTGTCAATAATGACATGCATAGATGATTTACATTCCAAATATCTTGGGAACGGTTACTCGTAGCAATTTTTATCAAAAGGCATTTTTTAAATAAAAAATGGCGGAAATGTATATTTTTTCACTCACTAAAAAGTGATTATTCTTAAAACTAGTTAAAAAATATGCAGGTGGCGTCCCCTACAAGTAGGAGCCATATTGACATCAAAATCAAGTTTCCCATGTCAAGAAACACACATACACTAATTTTTATCCATATATCGGCATTCAGAGTTCAGAAATTATCTTGAAAAAATCGAAATAAAAATTAAACTTTTACGCCCTGTATCTCCGAAATGCACCATTTTAAGATATACATTCATACGAACTTTTTTATTTATTTTCATTTGGGTTACCAAATCACAACAATTCAGACAACTCTTTATATATAAAAATAAAAATTTTCGTCGGACAAAAATTGTTTTTTTTTATCAAAAATTGTCATTCGCATTAAATTTCTTAAAATACTATTTATTTAAAGATTTTCTATAAAGTAAAAAGTGTATTTAGTAAAATTCTCATAAAAAGGTGCAAAACTTGCAAGAGACCAAGACCAAGACTGGACATTGTAAAACCAGGACCAAAACTAAGGCTACTACACTACTCAAAACAATTATCACCATATTTGAATAAAAGTAATTATTAAATATTTCTAAATCAAGTATGCATTTTTCTGCCTTTCTTTTGTGAGTTTTTTAGGATAATTAGAGTACGCACTGCCATGTAATTTTTTATCGGCCGACTATTTAGTTGCAAAAGAGAAAACAATACATTCTTATGGAGCCGATCGGACCAATATATGATTGCATTGCGTAGCCTTAGGCTATACGCTGACAGGCAATTTTTAATTGGCCGACTATTTAGTTGCATATTTGTAACTAATATATCTTTATGGAGCCGCACTCACATGCAATTAGATAGTCGGCCGATCGGCTCCATAAGTATGTATTATTTCCATTTTTGCAACTAAATAGTCGGCCGACTAAAAATAACAGGTCAGTACGTAGGCTTATTGTTTCGAATTTCCCTTCACAGTATCCATACTATTTAAAATCGTAAGTCAGGGAATTCAAAGTGTCGTGTTTTTCATATTAATATTTTTTTTAGAAAATATGCGATGCTATTTGTAAACCAAGACCAATCGAGTCTTGGTCTTGGTCTTGCATTTGCTCATCACTATCCAGTAGTGTTATTATATTTTTGTTAATAAGTTACTTGCTAATTAATCACTAGCCTGATTATTCTTGCTAATTAAACTTATTTTTCATTAGGAAGCAGATGGAAAGTGAAGAACTTAAGCTACAAAATTGCCAAGTACCCGCCTAAGCTGAAACGAGCCGACGTAGATGCGGAAATCCAGAGGGCCTTTAACGTCTGGACCGGATATACCGACTTGACTTTCACGCCCAAAACCGGACAAGTTCACATTGAGATCAGGTTCGAAAGTGGTGAACATGGCGACGGCGATCCATTTGACGGACCCGGTGGTACCCTGGCTCATGCGTATTTTCCCGTGAGTACCTTTTGCATGAAATTATTTTTATTGCATGTCCGCTTTTGCTTTTGTTATTTGTATTTTTATTTATTTTTGTTTGGTATCCCAAAGTGGGAGATTTAGACTTAATTTAGATTAGAAAATAAATAGAATCGTAATCAGTATTTGCAAAGGTTAGTATTGGACCTTTTTCGTTGAAAGAGATACTGCCTAAAACATCCGTGTCCTGAAAGCGATTGAGTCAAAAAGTAGTCCAATTCACATTTCATGTTCATCCACGTCTCGATATCTGGGATAAACTTGTGCGTCCAGCGACCGTATTTTCCGATTTTCCATTTTTGCTGCCAGCGTTTCATTAAGATCTTTCGTGCTTTTTCTTTTGCAATACCATAAACTTCAAGCCTTTCTGTTATTTGCAGTTCTATGGGGGGATTTTAGATACTACATTTATTCGATATTGAACGATATGCACATGCAACTCGGATGCATGCAGTTCATTGAATCCTACCTAGTTAAAAACTAGCTGGGATTCAATGGACCGGAAAATAAAAGACTTGTACAAAACAAGTCTTTTATTTTCCGGTTATTTTGCCACGCTCGAGCCTCATACAGAATTTGTAAGTGCATCACACTCATGAGAACTCGCCTTCTAGATGATTTTTGTCCTCCGATATTTGGTAAAAGTCGAGTTAATAAACGTGTTCTCGACCTTTTGTATGGTTATATTTATACGTTCAACGAAGGTTCTTTTTGGTCTAGCTATAAGCCAAGGTACTTAATAGCTTGTTTTGGCATAACTAAAGTGTCTGTTATCTGAAACATTATAGGAGACAGTTTTCTTTTTGTAGAACGGCTTCGGTCTTCTGCGGGGCCAACCTCAAGTTTCTGCTAAGCAGCCGTTTGCACGTCCTTAGCAGCGAGGCGTTAACAATAACCATTAATATTCATTCACTTTTAGCTACTGCTACCATAGTCACATCATCTGCAAACCCTATTAATGTAACGCTTTCAGGCATTTCTACTTCAAGCAAGTCATCATATAAAATGTTCCACAATGTAGAACCCAAAACTGAGCCTTGCGGTATACCACTATTTTATGGTTAGCGTTTTAATAGTATATTTTGCTTCCATCTGTATTGACCGATTTGAAAGATATAATGCTATGATCTATGATCTTCATCAAATTCTTCTACTTCGAGCTTTTCAGACTTATCTGATCTGTAGGTCACCCTGATCTGTAGATGACATTCTTCAATCTTAACCTTTTTGAAAAGCGTAATAATTTGGAGACTGTATCCTCCTTTATAGCCTTTTGCCAAATGATTATTATTGCCTAGTGCAAAAATCCGTGCATTTGCTAGGTTATGGCACTAATATGAAAAATGTTCTGGTGCTTTTTCCTCCGATTAACAGAATATCCACATAGTTTTGTTTGATTATCAACTTTAAATGCCAATTGAGCATATAATGCCAATACACTATTGATACTCCTTCTGTCTACATTTTGTTTTATTATAAACTGAATCATCTGAGTAGAAATTTGTTAGCAACCTATTAATATTTTTGTTCATACTTTGCCAATCCATCCGAGGTTTTTTTGTTTTATCCACTTTTTCTTTTAGCTTATCGTTATTATTCCTAGCATACATCACTCCATAAGCTTTACATCAAAAGCAGGTCATTTTTGGGTTTCAGTTATGCTTGATTTCAACGTTGATTCATAAAGGATTAATCGAATCAAGCTATTTTTGACTTTAGACAACAAAGGCACTGTATCATTGGAGGATATTTATTAATATGAACTTACATGGGGCACATAGGATTTAAATATTAGGATATTTTTAGACTTTTATAAAATATGTTTTTTAATAATTAAAAATAAAAAATATTTAGTAATAAATTAGAAAAGTACCTCTAGGAGAACTATTTACTTTTCAGACTAGTTAACATAGTAAAAAAAAAGAATAAAATTACTATTTGGAATAAATTTCCCCAATAAATTCAATATAAACAATTACTTTTTATACGGAAAATTAATAACGCTTTAGAACTTTTTTCAAAACTTTTTAGACTTTTTTAGTTTAGTATTTTTTTAGTAGGTAGATTAGATTAACATATTTTATTTATCGTATGTCCACGGATTTTACAAGAAGAATTTTTTTTTTATTGACATTTTGATAAAAATGGATTCCTCATGAAAATTTTTGCTTATTCTAAAATGGTTTATACTTTCCCAAATTTATGCATAATTTATAAATCCCGTTTATACTTTTCCAAATTTCCATACTATTTTAGAGAAAATTAAGAAAAACATGAAAATATAGTTGATTTGAAGTGGTAAACTGAACTTATTTGCTTTTGAAAGTACTAAAAATCAAAAGGCGTTTCTATGTTAATATCAATTCGATTTCATTCTTTGATAGATGGTTATATATTAATTTTGATTAATGTCATATTCTTTGCTGTTGTTAAAGTATGATATTTTTCGGTAATAAACTTTCCGTAGCATTAAACTAAATAAATTGAGTGCTTCTTTAACACTACAATCTATCAAATAATGAAAATGAAGTTATATTGCAACAGGAACGCTTTTAATTTTTTTTAAATTTTAGGACATAGATATGGTTAGGTTAGGGGTTTACAACCATATTTTCATGTTTTTCTTAATTTTCTCTAAAACGGTATGGAAATTTGGAAAAGCATAAACGGGATTAACTATTTTAGAGTAATCAAAATTTTAATCGAAGAATGCATTTTTCACAAAATGTCAATAATAAAAAAGTGTTTCCTCCTGTAAAGACAATCCGGGGACATACTGTAGATGTTATATTTACAAAATAATAATATAGAATTCATAACATTATATATATTCCTTTATACCTTTATTTTATGCAACTTGTAGTCTGATTATACAGGGTTTGCCAAAAAGTTCACAAAAAATGTATTTTTTTATTACTGAGATATTTAAAAAAGTTATATGGCATTTTTTTAGCATAACAACCGAAAAAAAATATTTTAACATATATTATACGCCAACTGTCATGGGGGCTAATTTCAAAAATCGTCCATACATATGCAACATGTTGAGTTAGGTAACTTTACGTTAATTAGAAAAGTTGAACAGAGTTGTATTTTATTATATCGAACAAAAATTATTTTTAAATGGTGTTGTTTAAAACTTTTAAATTTATTTAATTTTCTTAGATTTATTAAATTTAAAATAGAGGTTTTTTATAAACTTTATGAAAATTATAAAAAAATCGCACTTAGACGGAGATACAAATTCTGAACAACTTGTCTCTTGGTCTTTTATTGATATTTTGTTACCTAACTCAACTTTTGGCATAAAAAGATAATTTTTTAATTCTCAATTCGCTGCAGTGCAAAATTATTTTTTGCAAATCTCAAAATTATTTTTTCTTGTTATTGGATGCTGAAGGTTGATCTTATTGGATGCTGAATTGGTTATGCTGAAGAAATTCCGAATAAACTTTTTTAACAGCACAATAAAAAAAATCCAGTTTGTTGCTAACTTTTTTACACCCTGTATCTTAGAAATCTTTATTTCTCTTTTGAAGAGAAACATATCTTGTATCTTTCATAATTTACACAACACCTCGAAATTACATAAAAACAATAATTATAGATTTATCACGACGTATTTATTATTAATGAGACATAGATATCCAGCCTCAATGCATGAGCAATACTTTTATCATATTTACACTTTGCTTTACACCTTCAATATTGCATGTGCCATTAGCCTCTTTCATTAAACAAACTAACTTGCACAATCTCACTTGAATTCACGATAATGTCATATACACAACTACACTTCAGCCTCCGGAGACACATTACTTAACAGCCTCACAGCACATGTACAGTCTCGGTGTCGGTGTCAATCGTCAGTACAATCCATGGTACACTCCATTCACGAACTGGTATACCCCTCATACGCCAAGCTACAACCCTGGAAAAGTAAGTGCATGTAGTGAGAGAGAAGAGTTTATATCATCCACCAACCCTTTTATTATTTCTTATTTAGTAATTGCCACTTATTAAAATATCATATTCAGTTATAAAATCCAGAAAATTATCATCAAAACCTATTTAGATGAAGAAAGTCTTTATACGAACATACTCGTGAGAGTATCATTTGTCATAATTGAATCCATATTTTCATATTACATTTTTTTCCAAAAGAATGCTGCCTCGTAAGCGGGTAACAAAATTAAATACTTTTATATACAATAAGATAAAAAGTAAGTTTATGGTATCTAATACCGCCTATACACATACAGCTTGGTTGACTCAACTGTCGCGTCGGGCGAAAGAAATTGTCTCCACATTATCCGATTTCACAATAAATCAATATGTGTTAAGTTTCATTCAGACCCTCGCATTTAGTGGAATAAATTAGTGGTTTCAATTAGTGTAGAAGTTTGTTCCTTCAATTTTAATGTAACCATTCAGAATGTCAAAATTAGTGGTATATCTTTTCAATTAGTAGAAAAAGTTATCAAACTTTTAACTTTTCTACTAATTATACTTCAACATTTTTGAGAAATGTAATTTTGGCCTTTGATTATCTTCCGTCAAGAGAAATTGTGGTTAGGAACATAGATAAAAGAAAATAATATTCTATTAAGATAGATATGAAACTTAATAGTAAAATTTTGGGTCAAAGCGCCCCTCCGTGTTCTTAGTAGAGACTACGTTTAACCCAACATCTTCGCCTTTTCTGCTGTAAATATTTTTTATGTTTATATTTGATTTCAAAGGATTTAGTTTTAAAGTTCCACTGATATATTAGTATATCAGAGTAACTTTAATAAAACATAAGAATATATATATATTTTACAGTTTATTAAATATAAATTTTGACTACAAGGTAGAAAGTAAATCACAATATTTGATAAAACTTATAAGTATACTATTTTTACAGTTAATAAATAATAAAACTATTTCTGACTATGATATTTAAAATTTAGATAGAATATTAAAAAACATACCGGGTATTTGCAGACGCAGACCCAAATTCAATAAAAACCAAAAATTTTTCATGCGAAAATCGGGCTTTTTTCACAGAAAAAGTATTTTTTGATTTATCAACAATCATTGTCAAGTTGACAATATACAGGGTGTTTTCTAATTAGTCTAAAAAATTGTGGTGTGATTCCTCATGTGTTCTTAAAACAATTTTTATATAACCATTAGGTCTAAAGTACTTCCTTTCTGATCTACAGTTGCCGAGAAAAAATAAATATACTTATTAAGAGCCCGCCTTTAGCCGTTTTCTAACGATTTTTTATTTTTTAGATTAATGTAGAAGTTTGTTCCTTCAATTTTAATGTAACCATTCAGAATGTCAAAATTAGTGGTATATCACAGGCAATTAAATAAAAAATTTATCAAAAATTATTTTTCTTTTCTACTAATTACATACCGTGTTTTTTGAGTGAGTACTAAATTATTTTTTCAAAATCTTCCATCAAGTTTCCAGGCAATGGTTAGGAATCAAAAGTTGATTGTTTTATAAGCTAAATATTAGGCTTTCTCTATGGATACAACTGACTGACGCAAGCTGTTGCTAGGATATTCTATTAATTTTAATTGTGTTTTTAAAATATTGTGAATGATCGTAAACTAAAAAGTATAAAGTGTAATTGAAACCATTAATTTATTCCACTAATTGCGAGGTTCTGAATGAAGCTTTACTTTAATTTAAATTTCACCTAAATCTGAATTTTACCTCTCACAAATGACTTCTATTTTACTAAGAACAACAAAAATTTTGTACTGAAAACTTTGGTTTGTGTGATTTGATACTCCAATTTGGACCTAATTTATAATTATCCTAAAGGTGCGTCCAGACTTGTCATTTTAGCCCGAACAGAACGAACCAAACGCACAAGTCTGGACCTGTCCCCGAGCAGAACCGAACGCGCCAAACGTTTTCCGGAGAGTGTCGGTAAATTAGAGATGAGCGATATTTCACGAACTGTGATTTTTTCACTGATATTTAAAAATCACATATGACGATCGTTACTTTTTTTGTGAAGAAAGCGTGAATTGATATGTGATTTTCACAGCATGCAAACGAGCAAAAAGTCGACAGACTTGTTTATCCGTTAAGTTATTTAATATAACATAAACAAAATGGAAATACCGATACCGATTACTATTGCCGGCCGCCTCGCTTTCGTTTAATATCGCTTTTTTTAAAACTATAAACGGTGATGGTACATTTTAGGTACGTCGTCAATCTTGAAGTTATTGATGTAAATTTGATATTAATATATTCTACAATTAATGTTTTAACGTTTTAAGTACGGATCGTACGAATACTCGGCTAAATCTTTGAGATTTGAGATCACTGCAATAAAATTATTTATTTTTTGAGGTTAGAAAAACAATTATTCTTAAATAAACAAAACAAACCCGCGACCTTGCAACCCGGCATGTAACCGATAATAAATGCAACTTGACTAGTGAATAATAAATACTAAATGAATCAAACCCAAACTTGTTTGTCTCAAATCTAAAAAAAAAGTAGATATAAATAAACACGTGAGTATTACGCCTTAACTGGGAACGGGGCAACGGGGACGGAGCGACAAGACTTGTTATTGTTATTGAAACTGTGATCACATCACGTTTAAAAATCACTGATATTAAAAAATCACAGTAACAAATATCAGTGTGATTAAAAAATCACGATATCGCTCATCTCTCCGGTAAATCCAAATTGCTCAAAAGGATTTAGCGTTCGTGCTGTTCGCAGCATTTGTGTCGTTCGCGCTCTGTCACTAGCATAATTTCCATGAAAATGCTTAAAACTGGCCCATTTCTCGTAACAACAAGTTAGTGACTCGATGCATGTCGATACAATCAAAAAAACACTAAAAGCTACTGCTAAATTAGTGTGCATGTTTGTTTTTATCTTGATAATGGGTTGTCGTGGTTGGTTTTGTACATTTACTAGTAAAAACTTAACTACTACGGTATACACACAAACATTTCGAGCAGATGGAACATTTATATTACACGTAATGCATTTAACGCAATATAATATATAAACGTTTTATAAATGGCTGCTATCTTCGATTTAGTGGTCCAGAACTCTCCTAGCTCTTCTAATGTGCTGTACTTTCTTTAATGAGAAACGAAGATTTCTCATATATATTTTTTTACTACTAAAATAGTTACCGATGTGTTTTAGATGTATTAAACTTTTGTTTTACTAGGTGGCAATTATTATTTTCTTTATATATTGGTTATTATTAATCAACTTTAATGTAATTTGGAACTACAGTATCTTATATATTTTTGATCAAGAATCAGATTACGACAATGCACTATTTTATTTTGTAAATAGTTAAATGTATATTATATTCTACAGTAAATTTGCTAACGCATAATTAGATATAAATAACTTTTTGGGTCATTATGAGGCAGAGGATATAATAATTCGTGTGACCCTTAATGTTAAATGTTTCTTTAAAAACAGAAACAATAGTATTTTGAATTAAAATTTCTTGAAATTATATAAAATATGTTATTTTATATTGCAATTTAAAGGTATTTTATTATTACAATATTTTTACAATTACTTTTTTTATGCAGTGGTGTATTTGTTATTGCTTTTAGTATAATTTTTGTTTGTGTTTGTGTTTAAATATGTTTTTATTGGGAAATATCAGTTATAATGAACTCTATTTTAAGCTTTCAAATTTCTTTGGTTAAAAGCAAAGCGCTACTTCAGCTATTTTTTCCGCTATATACAATATGATCGAAAAAGAACGGCATCAGCAATGGCTTTGAAATAAAGATCGCTATCATTTTATATGTAATACTATATGATCAATGTCATCGATTATCATTTCCGAGCTAACTGGACGCTGTTTCTTTTTTAATCATACGGGATTTGAAATATGATTGATCTACAGTATTTATTTTTAGATAAAAAAATTATTCAATTTGAAACTAACTGTAATATTAAACTATATAGGTTTTTGGAGGAGATGCTCATTTTGACGCAACCGAAAGTTGGTCGATTAACAGCTACCGAGGCACGAATCTTTTTCAAGTAGCTGCACACGAATTCGGCCACTCTTTAGGTCTAAGTCATTCCGATGTGAGGGAAGCACTTATGGCCCCTTTCTATAGGGGATACGATCCACTTTTTAGGTAATATTAAGTTTTTGATGTCAAATAAAATATTACTAAATTTTTTTATTTGAAAAATTAGTTTGGATCAGGACGATATCGACGGTATCCAAGCATTGTATGGAAAGAAAACGAAAACCGCTGCAAAACCACCTAGCGATGAAGAACCTGTAGATGAAAGTCAGCATACACCAAAAACTGTAAAGCCAGGTATGCATTAACCAATATTACAGGTTTGTTCCGACACGTCAAATTATCATTCAGTATATAGGGTGTCCCACTTTCGTGTCATTTCCAGAGTTATTCTTTATGAGTAGAGGAATACAAAGATGCTGGTTTCACATTACTGTACTATTTTTTAAAGAAACTAGGAGGTGGTATACCTAGATTTGCTCTAGACCTCTTAGTTCCTGAAATACCGGGCGAATTTGAAATTATTGCATTTTTCGTCTCCCGTCATATATCGGTTATCTTATAACTTATTCGGTGAATACTGAGTTCCACAGAGTTTTTTACGTTGAATCCAGTGACGTAATAGTTTTTCGCTGAGATCTGTCATTTTCGAAATATGACTCGAAATAGAGATAAGATAAACGAGATACGAGGGGAACTGAAAAATGAAAAAAAAACTCAAATTTGCTCTGTATTTCTGAATTAAAATTTAGTAGCATTTTTAGTTTCATAAAAAAGTAGCATAGTGACAGTAAAACCGCATCTTTGAATCTCTTCTCAAAAACGAAAAACTTCATAAAATACACGAAAATGGAACATACCGTATAATCATACGCTCAAGAGCAACACAGAAAATAAGTCCACAGGGTTTTTAATGAACAGTATGCTTAGCGTTCAAATTTTATTTTTGATCATCCAAAAACAGGTTTTACAGGTTTTATGACCATCGTTTTTAATTCCTATGCGGAAAACGAAAATCCTGGGATTTCGTTTTCTAAAAAAATGTCTATTGGATAAATTTCTGATACATTTAATTTTTGATAGAGAAGAGTTCGTATTATCAGTTGGAAGAGTTTTATTATCACCGAACAAAAGAGTTTCATTATAAGTGGGCAGAAGATTCTGAGAAGCTATTTAAAATTTGTCTAAACAATATTTTCTAATCAAAAAAATTCTTTGGGTATGTAGAACAACGTAAGAGGTATCTGTTCTGCCATATATTAATTGCTCTTTGAATCTAGTGCCTTCTGCTTAGTGTCTTCTAGTTGAATCTGCAACCTTACGTGATATTTTCCGTATTGCATCTCTATATACGATTACCTAACAGTTTCTGTGATTAATAACTTAAGTTTGATAATGACATTTTCAATGGGTTTAATTCTTGATCACACGGCATTGACGTATAATGTGACTCCTATATATTTGAAAGTTTGACTTGAATTTTGAATTTATACCTGCGTGTCTAATAGTTTTATGGATTAGTCCAAATATCACATCGAGTATCGATCCCAAATTAAATTTTATATAGTAGGGAAGAGTGGGGCACGTTCGGCCATGGGGCACAATCAGCCGCCAGTTATAAAAATTTGAATTTTAAAGTTTTCGCGCCGATTTTGTTCTTAAAAGTTGGCAACAAACCCCCGCCAGATAAAATATTCGTCACATGTGTTTAGTTGAAGGCCAAGAGGTTTTTATTCAGAAAACAGAGATTTTGGCAGAAAAAGGTAAGTTTCGCTAATATTCTTATTTATGGCATATTACCTGTTTATATTCATCCCAGTTTTTCCAAAATCGAGTTATATTAGCTTTGGTATATGTAGTTTAACTGTTTATATTAACATAACCTATAATTTATCCCATTTCAGTGCTAAATAAATTTTTATTTTAAAAAACCGGTTGGGGCACTTTCAGCACTGTTAGTGGGGCACCTTCGGCCGGTGGCCGAAAGTACCCCCCGGTGGCCAAAAGTACCCCACAAATTAAATGTATTGTACAATTTTATAGATGGTTCGCAATTATAAGCCCAAAACAAATAGGGCTAATATAAATGAAGATACAATGCGGCAGGCCTTGAGAGAAGTTTTATCCAAAAACATGTCTCAAAGAGAAGCTGTTCGAGTTTATGGCATTAAAAGGCAAACTTTGCAGTCCCGAATAAAACAGATATTAAGAACTATGAACGTCGAAGAGTATTTGCAAAGAACTGATGATGATGGCTATGAGAGTGAATCGGATTTGCAAGAGAAGGGTAAACAAAAATAATTACTTCTGCTTTGTTCGCTCTTTAATTAATTTTTTTGATGGCCAGATTGTAATAGGAATTTATTTTCTTGTTCTAGGTAAATACGCTACTAGAAAAGTTTTTTCGACAACGCAAGAAGAAAAGCTGGTAAATTATTTGAAGCAATGCTCAAATATGAATTATGGCTTAACTTATGAGCAAGTAAGGGTTATGGTTTATAACTACGCAAGAATTCTGCCAAGTTGCAAATACCCAAAAAACTGGAATACCCATAAGAAAGCAGGGGTTGACTGGCTGTATGGTTTTATGAGGCGAAATCGCACGTTGTCGTTACGAAAACCAGAGAGTACAAGTTTGGCAAGAGGATTGGGTTTTAATAGGAACCGAGTAAATGAATTTTTTAATAATTACAAGAACGTGTTAGAAAAACACAAATTTACACCTGAACGAATTTTTAACCTAGATGAGACTGGTGTGACTACGGTATTGAACCCACCAAAGGTCATAGCTACAAAAGGGAAAAAACTCTTATTGCTTCGGCCGAGAGAGGAGAATTAGTAACTGTAGTAGGAATTATCAACGCAACAGGAACTGCACTTCCTCCTGTATACATTTTCCCGAGAGTGAGAAATATAGAAGAGTATCTGGAAGGTAGTCCTGCATTAAGTGCCGCTTTTGGAAATAAATCAGGATGGATGGCCGGGGAATTGTTTGTGAAGACACTAGAACATTGTAAAACATACAAAATGCAGCAGAGAAAATAAAATTCTCCTTCTTATGGATAATCACGAATCCCATACAACTTTGGATGTGATACTTTATGCAAGGGAAAATGGAGTAGTTCTTCTTTCATTTCCACCGCATACATCGCATAAACTCCAACCACTCGATATTGGAGTTTTTGGTACGTTTAAAAGCAAATGTTCGGTTTCTTTAAATGAATGGTTGTCAAGTAATCCTGGAAAAACAGTCACCGTTAAACTTATACCAAAACTCACTAAAATCCCATTTTTAGAAGCATTTACACCACGTAACATAACCAGTTCTTTTGAAAAACCAGGAATATGGCCAGTTAACTCCTTAGTTTTTACAGACCAAGAAAATATCAACATTTGGTTCAGAGGGGCAACTTTTTATTTTTAATTTGAAAAGAGATACTAAAAAGTCAAATAATTTAGCTAACAAATTACTTAAAAAATAATTAAAATCCGGTCCACTAAGACACAATATACAGGGTGGTCCAAACTGTATTCCGGAAACTTCGGCAGCATATTCTGCAGATAAAGATCAGTATAAAAGTTCGTATAAATATATGTCCTAAAATGCTTAGTTTTTGGAGATGGGGTGTAGAAGTTTATTTTGTTTTTATTTTTCAAATAATTTCTGAGGTAGTAACGTCAATATTTCGATGAAAATTGGTATCCTGGGAGTTTTTGACATGAGAAATTTGATTTTTGATGTCAATATGACTCCTACTTGTACAGGGGCGACACCTATTTATATGGTTTGAAAGAGTAATAACTCTTCGACCGTACCTATGAAACTACTGAGTAAAAATATTCATTTACGGCGCTTTTTACGTAAAAAGAATCTCTTGGTAAAAATCGCTAGGAGAGATGGTTCTCGAGATATTTTGAATCAAAATTATCAATACTTGTCATCATTGATAAATAATTAAACATGTTGACCAATAGTCATTAAGCTGAAACAGACCACCACCGAAATCCGTTAGCTGAGAAACAGGATGGAGGAACCGAAAATGACCTTATTGAACGAGGAAGATTTTAGAAACCAACCGTCTACCTCTAAAGAAGCCATTGCCTATTCTTGATGAAGTCGTAAGTGAGAGTTCTGTAAAAACTAATGCAGGAATCGAAATGTTAACTCCTAGTGGTTCGACTCCCAAAAGTTTTAGACCCAAAAACTATACCAAAGAAAGCCTAAAGCTAATCAAGGGAAGTCAGAATTTTTCTTACCGAGAAAAAAGAGGAAAAAAGAAAGAAAATAGAAAACAAAGCAAAGAATAGAATTGAAAAGAAAAGAAAGGGAAAGTTGAAGAGAGACCTTACAGATAATGAATCAGTCAAAAATAAAAAAAATAAAACAGGTCAAAAGAAGGTATTTTCAAGCTCTAGTAGTGAATCATCGGGGTCTGGTTTGGACTATGATAGTGAGACAGAGGAAAACCTAAGTTTCGGATCACTAAGAGAAAGACAAAAATAAATTAAATAACTTTATTCTAGTAAAATTTTCAGTGAAAAATACCACAATACATTATATTGGTTGTGTGCAAAATATTTTTTCAGATAATACATACCAGGTGAAGTATCTTAGACGCAGAGCAAACACCAATAAATTCCATTTTCCCCAAGTGGATGATATAGAAATGTGTACACGAAATGATGTGTATGCCATATTGACAAATCCTATTAAGTCCAGAAGAGATTCGAGTTTAACTTTTTGTTATAATTTTGATAATATTACTGTAAAATAGGAAACCACTATTTTTCTAAAGAAGTTTTAGAATTTAGAATTTATTTGTTATGGTTCAAGTTTAAAGATTTGTATTTGTTTTATAGTTTTGACAACTTGAACTTTTAATCTTTAAAATTTAGTTGTTGTCACTTACAAAATGTTTAATATAATAAAAACAAGTTTCTTTTAAAAGTGGTTGCATTATTTTAACAGTTTTAACAAAAAACGTCAATGTGCCGAAACTGCCCGAATAACTGGCCGATTGTGCCCCTATAGGGGGCACAATCAGCCAATATGCAGACATATAGTACATACAGTTATAACTAAATATTTTTTTTTGTAAAACGTTATAAAACATTAGTCATGTAAAATAGCTGTGTAAAGAATGTGTCAATTGTCAATGATTCTTTATTAGAACCTAAAATCGTCTGGAACATTTTTGTAGTAAAAATTCGATTATAGGGCTGAATGTGCCCCAGTCTCCCCTATAGTTAATCTGAAGTCATATGGAATAAATTGGGACTCTTAATGTCGGCACGGTATTTGTAGGCATTGTGGGCACAAAGGAATTGAGAGTCCCTGTACTTCCACTTGGCTTGGGCGTCCCATTTAAAAAAACATAACTTTGAGTCATATTTCGAAAATGACATCTCTCAGCGAAAAACTAGTTACACCACTGGATTTGACGTGGAAACATATACTGAACTCAATTTTCACTTAAGGTTATAGAATAAGCGAGATACTAGGGAAGTCAAAAAATGCAAAATTTTTTCTGTATTTCAGGAACTAACAGGGCTAGTATAAATGTGTGTGTAGCATCTTTAGTTTAATAAATAAAGAAGCACGGTGACAAAGATACGGTGAAAACCGTATTTTTCTAGTTCTACTGATAATCGAGAAACCCCATAAACACACGAAAATGTGATACTCTGTACAATTTAAAATATATTAATTTATATATTATTCCAGTGTCAGCAGGTAGCAGCAGTTTATGTTCAGATCCGAAATTCGACACGATTTTTAATTCGGCGGAAGGATATACTTTCATATTTAAGGGAGAGAAATACTGGAGACTGACAGAGGAAAGTGTGGCTGCTGGCTATCCAAAATTAATTAGCGAAGGATGGCCAGGCTTGCCTGGAAACATTGACGCCGCCTTTACCTACAAGAATGGAAAAACTTACTTCTTTAAAGGATCCAAATACTGGAGGTGAGTTTGATTAATATTATTGACTTTTATTACACTCGAATAACAATTAAATAAGTAATGAAACATTCTTTAACACCACTTTTTTCTTGAAAGTCGTTCAACTAAAATATTTTAAGTAGTTCTTATAGAGATAATACATTTTTTTGGTATCGTTACATACTAAATTTTTAAAATAATGTCTATATCTTTGGGGTGGGTTCATTTCTTGAACAAGGTCTGGGTTTTTCACTGGAAACGATCTACTTTCTAATGTTACTCTAATATACAGTGTGTCAATTTTAAAACTTTCCACCCTTAATATCTTTCTTGCAATTAAAAATATGAAACATTGGAAAGACACGTCAATTTTATTTGTAAGGGGGACACGTTAAATGAATATGTTTAGCCTTTTTTTCAAACCACTAGGAAGGGTAGATGTCACCCTTACAATCTTAAAAAAAATGGCGGTTAAGTGGCACATCGTTTTAAAGGTCGTTTAATTCTCTTTTTAATGGTTCCTACTTTGTTGCTTTTTGTCCAGAGGTTTCCGAATAATCGCGTTTCAAAGTTGCAGAAACAATTAAACATGCTTGCATTGAGATTTTGATTTTCAGGCTAGTTTACACAAAAGTTATTGCAATGGATCTCCTTGTAGTACAAATTATAAGAAGATTAGGTTACATCACTTACATCTGATAAGTTCTTTAAAATGTTGTCCATTTTCCTGTAAACAATAATAAAGTTTGTTTTCGAACTCCTCCCTAACATCGGAAAACTACAACGGGAATTGATCGGAATTCTGCTATAATTCGCCTTTTAAGATCATTAATATCAGTAGGTCATGTTTTATAAACAATGCATTTATGTCCCCCAAAGAAAGAAGTCTAAGGGTGTTAAATCCGGTGGTCTTAGAGGCCATTCAATTGGCCCCCTTCTGCCAATCCATGTACCCGGAAATCTCTAGTTTAACCACTGTCGGACCGGAAGAAGATAATAAGTTGGAGCACCGTCCTGCTGGAATGTTAACAAATCCTCCTGTAAAACTTATAATCTTCTAATCATTTGTACTACAAGGGGATCCATTGCAATAATTTTTGTGTAAACACTACCCTGAACATCAAAATCTCAACGCAGGCATGTTTAATTGTTTCTGAAACTTTGAAACGCGATTATTCGGAAACCTCTGGACAAAAAGCAACAAAATAGGATACCACTGAAAAGAGAATTAAACGCCCTTTAAAACGATGTGCCACTTGACCCCCATTCCCATTTAAGATTGTAAGGGTGACATCTACCCCTCCTAGGGGGTTTGAAAGAAAAAGGCTAAAAATATTCATTTAAAGTGACCCTTACAAATAAAATTGACGTGTTTTTCCGATTTTTCATATTTTTAACTTTTTAACTTCAAGAAAGATATTAAGGATGGGAATTTTTAAATTTGACAGTGTATGTAGATTTCTTTTGAAGTGGTGGTAAAATGAGTTGTTTCAAGGAATTAAATTTTTTGTTAGCGGTAATATTATTTTAGATGACTAACGATTTTGTATTTTATAGATATAAGGGTAGAAAAGTTGATGGGGATTATCCTAAAGAAATCTCTGAAGGTTTTACTGGTATTCCCAATAATATCGACACAGCAATGGTTTGGAGCGGTAATGGAAAAATTTACTTCTTCAAAGGCAGTAAATTCTACAGGTTTGACCCTACCCAGAAACCGCCAGTTCCAAAGAGTTTTCCAAAACTAGTTTCAAATTGGGAAGGTGTTCCAGACAATTTGGACGCAGCTTTCCAATGGACGAACGGATATACGTACTTTTATAAGGATGGAGCTTATTATAGGTAATTTTATTTTTGAATTAGTTAAGAGATTCTTTGGATCAAACGTCATTCATTAAAAAAGAAGTAATTGAAAACATTATTATTAATAATATAAAAATGTGGGCGATATTGAAAATCTTACAAATTTAAGCACCTTTTTTTTAGTTTCTACGTCAAAACGTTAAAACGGTTCTTTAACATATCTTTTTTCCGTCGAAATTAATGTAAATTGATCAAATTTGACTGAGAGTTAAAATATGTGAAACTGAACAATATTTTTAAAAAAATATACATTTTTTAAAATAGGTCCGATTTATGCTATATCTCCGAAACTAAAATTTAATAAAAAGTCAAACTACATATGTCTACAAATTCATTTCCCCAATAATATAATAAAAATATTTATAGAATCCCGTGTCTCCAATAGTTTCTTAGTAAAAATTTTAATTTTTTAAAAAAGGTCTGATTTTCGCTATATATACCGGGTGCGTCTCGAAAGTGGCTCACTCCTATAACTTTTTTATTTTTTCTGATAAAAAAACGAGATTTGGTATGTTAGTATATGATATAAATTAGGATTGATTGATGTATTAAACTGTTTTTAGTAACTTCCTGTTTTACCGGAAATGACTACAACTTTTGATTTTTCAATGACACCCTAGGTATATTTCTACTCTATTCGATAGAATATGGCACTCTGAATAGAATGACAGATCATATGTCAACTTTCGACATTTTCGCTTAAAAACAAATCGTATTTTAAACTTCAATCTAGAGTGTCATGGCTGTATTAAAAACACTAAGTTTTATACAAGGATCCTTGGAAAAATAGTTTTGTGCGTCTAATGTTTTTCGTGTCTTGTCCTGGCCGGTTAAAAGATGACCAAATCGTTTTTTTCATCATATCTCAATTTTTTCAAACGGAACAAGGGTGGCTCGTTAGCATATTTGGAAAAATATTTTTTTACGAATAATTTGATACCACACAATTGGTATTTCGAGTCAAATTGTCGTTATGAACCGCATGTTACAATTTCAAATAAACCATATGCGAAATGTCAAAAATTGACATACGATGTGTCATTCTATTCAGAGTGTCATTTTCTATCGAATAAAGTAGAAATATACGGAGGGTGCCCTTTAAAAATCAAAAGTTGTGGTAATTTCCGCTGAAACAGGAAGTGACCAAAAACAATTCAATACGTCAATCAATTCTAATTTATATCATATACTAACATACCAAATCCTGCTTTTTTATCTAAAAAAAGATAAAAGTTATAGGGGTGAGCCACTTTTGAGACGCACCCGGTATATCCGAAACTAAAATTTCATAAAAAGTCATACTATGTCTACAAATTCATTTGTCCAATAATTTAAGTTTATTAGTTATAAAACTTTAAGTTTTTATACAGGGCATTTAAAAAAAAAATTATACTATCTCTCATAGGGATATTCCTCTTGTAAAAATATGACTTATTTTATCTTTTATTATTCTGCTTCTTTCGTAGCTACAGGGGGTTAAGGTCTACATTTTTTTCGCTTTATTATACTTTTCTTCCAAGTGCTTTTAGCGATTCGAATGAAATTTTGCTAAAAAAGTGTCGACCTATTCACCAGGGACGTGCGTATGGGTTACTGGAATATTTTTCTAATAAAAAATATGTGCGGTACTGACTTTTTTATCCGTTATCAAAATTGTGTAGATCGTTTAATGCCGATTAAAAGTTGTCTCTTGATATTTTGTCGATTTCGGCCTTCTTGATGAGATAAACGGAATTTTATTAATTTGCCTTAATCCAAGTTTAATAGCAAGAAAAAAAACTTAAACTTAAAAAAATAATGTCATTAACTAGCCAAAGTGTCAAATGAATGCATAGTTTTAAAGTTACAGGGTATTAAAACTTCAAAAATAGGTCTTTTGTAATTATCTTAAATAACACTATTCTTTTTTAATTTGCTGTATAAATTCAAGTATACATTTTAATAACATTTAATAATACATTAGGTTAAATAAATGATTTATTAATTTTATTGTTATTAATAAAATTGCGTTTATCTTATCAAGGAGATCGAAATCAACAAAATATCAAGTTACAACTTTTAATCGCCATTAAACGACCTATTTAATTTGGTAAAAAGAGAAAAAAAGTCAGTGGCGCACATGTTTTTTTAAGAAACTATACCAGTGATAACCCATATGCGTGTCCCTGGTGAATCTGTCGATAGTTTTTTAACATTAAAATTTGCCAGAAATTATTTAAAATACATTTTTAGGCAATTTGCATAAGGTAGTATTATTGCAACACAAAATTTAGTAAATAGAAAAACTTCAGTACAATATTTGGTTTTAAAAACTTAAATACGCCTATAGAAATGAAGCAATAAAATCGTAAATATTTAAAACGGTAAGATTAAAGTGCAGTAAACCTTAATAAAATGTACCTTTATTTTAAAAAGTTGAAACTAAAAATGTAATAATATACACGGTGTTTAAAAACACAACTTTGATATTTTTTCTTCATTCGAGACTCTCTGTACCTTTTGAAAATAATTTTAAATTGTAGCCTTATAACGATCTCATTACTTACAATTTCTAAAAATCCATTAGTCCAGTTATGCATTTATTAATAACTATTTTGTGTTTTTAGGTTTAACGATAGGGCATTTGCAGTGGACGTAACAACTCCTGCCTTCCCAAGGTCGACCGCCTATTGGTGGTTCGGTTGCCAGGATGCCCCTTCGGGAACTGTCGGAAGCAGTGAGTCGAGGGGCTGGTTGGTTGATGGAGGGAGCGATAGCGATACCCTATCAGACGATCAAAATAATTTTGATATAGATGCAGGTAGGATAAAATCACAAGTTTATTTTTTATTTGCTTGAAAGATGAAGAACAAAGTATGATCTTAAAAAAGTCTCTGATTTCGTACTTTGGCTGTATTAAATTTAGTAGTGACGCTTCTAACAGGTGTATCTCTGAACGTTATCAAACTAAAACCGATGGTATTTTCCTAAGCTACTGTTTTAATTATCAAAGCCGTGATTATGTTGGTGCTGTGATTAACGATAGATGCAAAGATATAAGCATCCGACGAATTTCTGCTTTTATGGTTTATGACCGCGCCAGTCGTCGAAGAACTTTTTTCGACGATTTTCCTAGATTTTCCTCGGATTTTCACGGATTTTTTAACAGGACACTGTCTCCTCAATGAACGAATGTCTCATCAATAAATTGAAGCGAAGAAACAACAGGAAATACAGATTCATTTGGGAAAATTGGGAACACCAAACCAAACCAAACACCTCATCACTAATTACGCGACAGGACAACCATTTGTGTCGTAAGCTTTGGTACTACTGATATTGTAGATGGAGAACTAACCTCTGTAAAATTTTCTTAGATACTGGTTTTGGTAAAAAAATTGAGACAGTATTATGAGCTGTAACTCAAGAAAGGAGGACACAATGGATCTATAATGTAGCGGTGATAAATTTTCCTTCTCCCATACAATCTAAAATCTACAAGAGGTCGTCCAACAGTGGAAATAATGTTGCTATAGCTGAATATATCCCTATTAAAATCTATGTAAGCAGCTTATTTAAATTCCCTTGTATTCCAATTGGTATATTATTTTTTAATATTTTTATAGCGTTTTTTTAAACATTACCACTGCGAACGGCAGCTTTTCGTTGGTAGAGCAGTCGTGGATAAGGTATTTCACTTGAAAGAAACTAACTAACAATAATAAATCGAAAATACAAATATTGGTCGCCAGGCATGAACAGAGAAAGAAAACACAGTTGTTTATTACTTAAAACTAGTGACTATATTCATTCATGATGTATTCTGATGGTAAATAGCATTGTACAATTTTAATAATTATTATAGTGGTTATATGTCGAGTAAAAGCTATGTTAGAAATAATATTAAATATATTCAATGAAAAGACTATAAAAAAATACCATACATGTAAAGTTATAGAAAATGTATAAAAGGTAGCATTACTTTAATTAATTTGATATATTTTATATGATGTTAAATCGAAGATGTTGCAACCCGTAGATTCTAGAATCTATGTTTGGTTATTCATCTGTTAAAATAGCGCAATAATAATATCTATAGAAAGTAATACTATTACAAGACGTAATGTAATGAAACCTAAGATCTAAATCATATTGTAACTACTAAATCGACATAAATGTTCTTAACGATCTAACGACTAAACATAGTCTGTACGATATTATTTAAAATGTACGTTATTATGTTAAGACTGACAATTGACTGAAAACTAGAACTTAAATCTACACTTAGCTGTTCTTTATGCAATCATGCTTCAAACAGTAACAGCGTGAGGTGGGCTCGCATCTCTGTACTGTCTCTCGGCTATCCTGTTGGCCAATACAACAAAAGAGGCCAGAATGAGGACACCATGAATCAATACAGCCGTAACTATTGACTAGGCTTAGAAATGGGAAAGAAGCAGCATGGGGCTCAAGCTACATCCACGCTGGGGCACTCTATATATAAGATAAACCATCCCTACATGGGACACTCGTCCACAGGACATCCGTACATAGGGAATCCAACCATAGGACCCTAAAAATACGAAACTCGTGTTTAAAACCTACCAAGGTGTAATAAACACAATAAACCTACCTCGAATTAATTTCGAGGGCTCAATAATAAACAAAGAAACACGTTCTTTCTTCCATGTAACATTCTGGAGAACAAAAGAAAAGAAACGCCAACGTGCCAGCAAAACACAAATACAAGTTAAGTTGGGACATCCAAAACTCGACTCTAAAAATATGCAGTAATAATATCGAATCTAAAAGGATAATATCTCATCTTTACTAATTGCTTTGAAATAGCAGCTGATACAGATTATACAGGAAGATTTAAATAATTACCATTTCTAAAAGCAATGGTGTGTTGGTGATGGCTACAGAGCGACAAAAGCAAAAGTGAGTCCACAGCGCAGAGAGCGAACCTTGAAGCGACGTTGAGCAGTCTCTCAGCTTTCGTTGAGCAGACTCCACAGAGCAGTCAAACGATAACAGGGTTGTGGACTAGAGAACGTAAAAATTACGCCAAGCGCGTCAAATAAATTATCCGGCCTGAACGATAGGGAATCCGGTGATGATACGCCAGACATCATATATCATATACAAAGACTTGTAACGAACTAAAAATGTTACATTTTTGTATTCCAGAAAATCACGTGTGCCCGTATTTTGACTATCTCTTTATTTTTATCTTTTATGTCTTCATTCATCAAATACTCATTGACGATTTGAAGGTGATCTTGAGTTGAAGTCTTGTAAAATCCTCCTGATTTTCTATTATGCTGAAAAGTATTTTATAAAAATGATTCTGCCTCATATTCTGATTCCTTCAAATGGTTCTTTGATTAAAATTGCATTTGATAGTATTAATTTTGTCGGACACTTTTTTGATATTTTCTCTTTCACACTTCAGGACTGTTTCATATGTTAGTGATTTGTTTGAAACACCTGTTTTTTTTCGGTTTTGTTTTGTTAAATCTGAATAATTGGACTATAAATATTTTAGTGTTGTTCGGTGTGAGAGCCCAGTGGCTTAGAAAAATAATGTTTGTTTTAGAGTAATAGCGATCAGAGTTCATTCGTCTTTTCAAAACGTCGATACTAAATATAATAAAAACAATGCCAAACACATCTAAAACAGTCTGAAATCAGATCTTTACTCATTATGGTTTGAAATTTTCAAGATTAGTTTAAGGGTTTAAAAGTAAAGTTTGTAGAGGAATGGTAAATTATTTTATTTTGACTAAAGTTAAAAATTCAATTTGAACAATAAATGTTGTAACAACAATAACAAAGGTCAGTAAATAAGATTTTATTTACATTTACTACCCTATTATAAATAAAAAAACTTCTAATTGAAATCATGTAAATCCGATCCTATAAAATTGTGAAAAATTAATTTTTAATTAATCTAATCTTATTAGTTGTTTTTTTTTTGTTATAATAAATTTATAGCCAATGTAATCTCTCAAGTATTAATAATATTATAAAAATATAAGATAGAAATATTTGGTTTTTACTGGATACTTAATGTATTCAATAATTTTGGTTTAAATTTTTGTTGTTGATTAAAATAGATATTTTTAAAAACCAGAGAAAAATAATTTGCTGAAAAGACTATAGATTGCACATTTACATATTTCATACATTTCATTTACTAACTCTACAAATTTTAACTTTTTTATCCAAACAAAGACGAGACTTTTTCTAAAAAAGAAGTGACTTTTAAATAAAACATAATATCCTACATAACAAACCTAACGTGTTTGATTAGAATTGGTTAGTTTATCTAAACAATAGATTTTTATTAGTTTCTTTACGTTAGTAAATAACATACGGATCAAATTCTAGATTAGATTTTTTCGTTTAGTTAGATATAATATTTCTAATAAAGTGAGCAACATAACTAACGTTTGAAACTACTAATAAGAATAGCCTAACATCATATCCCATCTGATTTGGAAATAATATTAATTATCGCTCTCTTCATCAAGTATGTATCAAGGTTATATTATCCCGCACATTGTTTCACCTAGATTTGTTCTAATATGTCACAAACGTTTGAGAGTTTTTTCAAGATGTATGAAATATTTTTGGAATCGTAATTGATAGCATTTTGGTTAATTTAAAAAAATAAATTTGTTTTAAAACTAAATGTTGATACAACAATAACAAAAAAGTCAGTAAATAAGATTTGCTTTGCATTTACTACTCTATTATAAATAAGAAGCAAATGTTTAATTAAAAACGGGCGAATCATATATAACAAAATTGTGAAAATTTTTCTCTTGTTAGAGTATTCACAGGATGGCTCAGTGTACCGGAAAAAGCTCTATATGAGGTGTTTTTTTGGAGTTTCGTTCCAAAATTTTTACAAGATATGCGGACTATGGTAGCGCACATTTTAAACATATTTTAGTAGATACAAATATTGCGATATTGAAATAGGTATATTTTTATACTATAATTTTTTATAAACTTAATGATAAACAGTAGATTCGCCATAAAATTCCTATTTAAAAATTTCATAATACCTTGGATTTTTTTTGAAATATAACCATTTTTATTTATGACTCTAATTTTAAACATATTAAGGCTCTAACACAGTTAGTAAAGTTATATAGCATTAAAAATATTTTATAATAATTTACATTTTATAATAAATGTTTAATTAATTAATTAAATTTATAACAACTATAATAAATTACATCTTAATGCGCGATATATACAGGGTAAGTTTAATTTTCCTCTACTATTTTAAAAGCCTTGTATTTTGTAACAATAGTTTTTATGCTTTAATAAACAATTTTTATATCCAAAATCAATGTAACTTGCTAAATTGTAAGGAAAATCTACTGAACAAAAAAAATCCATTCAAGAAAGAACAACTTTAGTGCGTAAAAATATTTGAATCGATCCGAACATCCATGAAAATATTTTTAAAATGGACCCTACTATATTTCGCATATTTGACAAAAAAATATAGGATTGATATTTTCAGATAAAAAGCTTTTTCGGAAAATTGAATTACCTCTATATAATTTCTTGTATTCCAAATATATTTCAACTCTACAAAACTGCATGTATTTGCACTAACGTTACTAATCCACTTAGCTTTTATCATCATTGTATGTATATATATATATGTGTTTGTATTGTTACGAATATTGGCGGCTGAACGTATGGTTGCACGGCTATAACTTAGAATATATTAGTTGCCTGCCCAGCTATGCACGCAAAATCAATACTTTTATTGTCATAGAATTTTGTTTTTTTTCT